CGGGCGAAATCAAGAATGTAACGAACGTTACACTCTGGTGGCTGATACCGATAGCATGGGTCATCCTTGTTCTATTGGCGAGCAGTATATGGGTAGTGGTGATGCGGTGTTATGGCATTACTCCTATCGCGCATGATGAGAGGTCGTTGGTGAGAATGTTGGAAGAAAAATCAGACATTGAATCAAGTACTGCGTCCAACGGGGTGGAAATTGAGTGGTGATGAAGAAGTGTTTGATTGACACCGACGATAGAAGCGTATCTGCTCAATTGAGGCACAGTGTAACGATTAAGCCGTGGATCAGCCTCATGACGCACGAATGCATGCAACTTTGCAAATGCTGAGAATTCAACGTCCCAACAAAGAAGCTAAGATAACGTAGTTCCGGGCTATGATTTCTAATGCAATTTGGGAGAGAGCAATGAGGCTGTCCTTTGTAGCACATAATGGTGAGGCAATGACGAGCTTTTCGCTGGATGAAATTCCCCCCCCCCCCGCCCCCCCCCCCTATTAATTGCTTGTGCTCATGATGAGTAACAGAGATTAGTTATTTAAGGCGCTCTCAATAGATACTCACTCCAGAAGGAGGAAAATTTGCAAGCGCTCACACTCAATCCATAATTTAGTATTAGCTGCAGTTATTGATGTCTTTCTTTGGCAAACTAAACTAGCAGAGAGTGAAAGAAGAAGCAGGATTTGGTGACTTGATAGGCGTCATGGTTCGCTCTACAGCGAGCATTGTTTCTTTTCAATGAACATGATCTGAGTGCATTGGATGGAGGGAGACAGGGACCCAGAGGTGGTAATGTTGGCGTCAACATACGGCATCAATGCAACGAATTAGGGCGTGGATTAGAAACAGTCAACGGTAAGCAAATGTCACACAAACCGCACAAGCCTAACAGTCATCACTGTTGAGACATTATGGCTTTCGAGACCCACGCATTACGTTCCGTTCGCATGCGCATTACTCAATATTTGCTGTAAAGGTCTAATGTGCCCTCTTCCATGTCCCCTCATCCCGAACACCGTTCTCCCTGAGATGTACCTCAACGTGAGCTCGAAATCTTAAGTACAATGTTGCATTCTGGCGCCATACAGTTTTCTATTGTTGGACCTGTTCAGCAGTAAACTCTGTGACAGAGCGGAAAAGTTCTGGCGGAAACTCCGAGAGAGATCGTTTTGCGCGAAGTTGTCGAAGCATTCACTCCCAAGCTATTTTTCTTCTCTATCGAAAGAGAACACGAGTGCAATGCTTCCTACTTACACAACCAACAAGACTGCAAAGTGTAATCTTTATGTTTCCTGTTTTCAATGAATAAATGCGGCAGTAGTGTACCACTCCAGAAAAGTATTATTTGGTAAATGTGGTGCAAGATCGATGCCGTCCGTTTACTGATGCCTATCGTGTCTCTACCTTATAAGGGAATGGGAGGGATCAGTGAGACGGCGGTGACTAAAGATGATCTAATTGCGCTGTGATGCGTGTGCTACGTGTGCCCGTATGGCTCTCATGACTGCGGCGGGATGCTGGTGCGGCGTCGACACTTGTCTTTATGGCTCTCATGACACTCCCCCTGTCGACGGCGCAGCTGTCTTGGCGTCTGCAGTCTGCTGGATTGTGAGTTGCAGCTTGGGTAGGAGGCGCGCGTATGCTTGGCGCCGGAGGGGGTTTTGAGGCTGTCTGCCAGTTTCTCGTCGGTGGGGACATGGGCGAGGGTGATGGTTCCCTTTTGCGACTGATGCGTCAGGTAGTGATGAAGCAGATCTCTGAATTTTCGCCGCTTTGTCGGTCCTGGGCTGTTTCGTAGTATGGCGAATACAGCTGTCAGGTAGGTGTGTCTTGCAGAGGGCGTCCCATAGATGTTCATGTTCGACTTGCCTCCTTGGCATGGGTGCTTGTATGTGCCGTTGAAACGGGGTGGTTGTTTCACGTGCATTTTTTCGCTGTCGTTGTGTGCGAATTTCTCATGTAGATATGCTGACTTGATATCGATGTGCCCCATGTGCATGCCGTGTGTTGCTGCTATGCCGGACAGTGTCCTTACAGTTGTTTTATCTGCCATGTAAGTTGTCGTTTTGGCAGGGTCAAAGTGCTTTTGTGGCACCATCTTGTCTCCACGTGTGGAGCAGCACGCTTTTCTCAATGCCGTTTCTCCTGCGATGTTCCTCTTGTATCGGTATATCATTTCTAGAGGTATGAGTTTTCCTTTTTGGGGAGGTTGGCATCTAGTGTGCACTGTACGACGTTCATTGTGTTGAGATTTTCCAATTACTCGTTGTGTGCCTTTTCCCACTCTGCTGCGTCGGGAGGTTGGGTTGTGCTAGCCGGAGCGGAAGTTGCGCGTGTCCGTCGTGTGGGTATTCTGGGTCGTGTGACGAGATCACCAGAGTTCCCTTGAACTCCTATGTGAGTGACTCAATTAGAATAAATTTCGGGGTTTGAACTTGCAAATATGAGTGCAGGTGTACTATGAACCTGAAGTTTTTTGATGCGTGTTGATGACGTCTGATAGTGCGGGGTGAACCTCGGAACCTGAAAATTGTGGGTTTTAGCTTCATGTGAATACGTCGGGTGTGGGACGTGTCGGCTTGTGAGAGGTTGCTTCTAACGACGTCGGGTGGTTGACGTGTGAGCTTGTGAGAGGTAGCTTCTAACGACGTCGGGTGGTTGACGTGTGAGCTTGAAGTTTACACAGCGCACTCTTCGAGGCTTGTTGGTTTTGTTTCAAGTACCATGATGTGGTGCTCATCTATCGCATGTAAGTATCTTGCGGGGGTAGCTCTTGGGGCGAGTTCGGATATTTGTTTCCTGTTAGCCAGTTCGGGGTTTGTCCCTAGTTGCCCGAATAGGAGAAATTGGGGGACTCTGGGGGTGGTGTTGGTCCACGTTGTGAATAGCAGGGAGTTGGTGAAGTGGTGTAGTATGTTATTATACTTGAACGCTGCGTCTCTGACAGTGTCTTCCCAGTGAGTTTTGGGGAGACCACTGTGGTGCAGCGCTGCTCTTTCGGAATTCATCAGGGTCCCGTTGATCCTTTCTGATATGCCGTTCAGTTTGGGTGTGTGCGGCACTGTAGTGCTGTGCATTACCTGCTGTGAGCGATACATTCTGTTCTCATGTTCGGATATATATTATTTATCGCTGTCCGCGTGTAACAGCTTGGGCTTGCATCCTTTCCTTTGTTTGATTGCTGTAAGGATTTTGTCCAATCGGTACGTTGTCTCAGCTCGTGATTCCAGGAAGTCGACAATGAGGTATCTGAGTATGTACTTGTTTCTTTGGCGTGAGGGCGGGTTGAACAGTCCGCATATGTCACTGCTGGACGCTGCTCCTACTGGGTACCTGTGTGTGGTTGGGTAGTGCGGGGCCGGTTGTTGTTTCGCGGCTGCGCAGCTCTAGCAGGTGATGCGTGGGGGTCTTTGTCTCAACGTGGGTGGGAGGTTGGGGAAGAGGCCGAGCTTTGACATTTTTTTGAAGCGTGGCGGGGCGTATGTGATTGAAGATCACATGGTAGTGGTGAGAGTCGTTTTCACCTGCGGGGTGTGCCGGGGTGTGTGGCAGCTGTGCGGGGTTTTGCATGACATGTAGGTCTTTTTTTCACTTTCGGCGCCACGTGTCCGATTTTTGGCGTGCGGCGGGATTTAGGTTTGCCCGTCTTTTTTGCCTTTGGGGATTTCTTGTTGACCGGGATGGGGCACTGCCCGGATTGCCAGTCCGTTCTGCCATGCTGTGTCTTTTCACCTTTGGCAATTGCGAGTAGTACATGCCTTTGGTGAAACGTGCTTGGACAACCTTCTGCGGTGGGCTCGTGCTCGAGTCGAAGATGAGCGCTTGGGTGGGCGTGAACCTGACTTCTCCCCATTGCGCGGCATGTCGTGTCCGTACGTCGTGTACGGGGAGAAAGTTGGAACGCAGTGCGGGGTTGGCAATGGCAGGGATCCGGATCTGCCTATTCCTACCTGTCGGGATGTGGATCATCCCCTTCAGGTTTGTCCTCATCGAGGGTCTGGTATACTGCAGTGTAGCCGTACTCGTCTTCTACTGTAGCGACTTGTCCAGTTGTGTAGTGGCGCTGCGGGTGGGTGCAGCGCGTCAATATACGCTTATGGTCAATGGTGGTGGTCCATTGCCTTCTTCCGGGCTTTGGGGCCGTCATGCCGTGTTGTGGCAGAGGCGTGTAGTTGGGCGGGTCGGTGCGCCCACGGGCGTTCCGTGGTTGGTACGGACGCTTCTTATTTTCCTTAGTTGGTCCCTTTGCTGGGTAGAGCGGGGGTTAGCTTGTCTTGCCTTTTTGTCTCGATCGTGGGAGTTGTGGCCTCCATTTCTTGCGGATTAGGCCTAGCTTGGCCGGGAAATTAAGGATGGCTCTACGGGCGTGTCCGGAGCTCTTGGGATGGGCTCTACGGAGGTGTCCGGAGCTATCTCGACGGTGTTATCCCTTGTTCAGCATGGGCCTTCGGAGGTGTCCGCAGCTGGCTCGACGGTGTTATCCGGATCTCTTGGGGTGGGCTCAACGGAGGTGTCCGCAGCTGGCTCGACGGTGTTATCCGGAGCTCTTGGGGTGGGCTCAACAGAGGTGTCCGGAGCTGGCTCGACGATGTTATCCGGAGCTCTTGGGGTGGGCTCAACGGAGGTGTCCGGAGCTGGCTCGACGGCGTTATCCGGAGCTCTACCAGGTGCCTCTACGCGAGTGTGCGGACTGAGATGTAGTAGAGCGACGGGGCTGGTGGTGCCGTGGTGCCGTCTTCCTGATCTCGTCCAAGGCGATCTCCGAGGTGCCTGGGATCGTCTTGCAGTGGGGCGTTGTTTGGGCCCATAACCTGTGGTGCAAGATCGATGCCGTCCGTTTACTGATGCCGATCGTGTCTCTACCTTATAAGGGAATGGGAGGGATCAGTGAGACGGCGGTGAATAAAGATGATCTAATTGGGCTGTCATGCGTGTGCTACGTGTGCACGTATGGCTCTCATGACAGTAAAAAAGGCTAATTTGGTGATTCAGTTCTCGTTGCTCCCACTGTACGAAAGCATGCCGCTGAGGTAAACACAGTGCGGACAATGGGTACAGTCATTCATCCCTGGACTCCAGGGAAGCGCTCCTGGGAATGGAGCGTTCATCACGTCTATAGTTCCCCGCAATGTTGCCTCTTCGTCTTCGAAAAGCTGAAGGGAATTGTCAACAACGAAAAGTCCGCTTCACTTGCAATAAAAGGGGCAGAGATGCTCCAAAAATCATGATAGCGTTAACAAGATTGTTATGAATGTAAGTGCTCCCAAACCATAAGGACCAATAGAAAAAAGTCACACGGGCAGAAAGAAACGATTCAGCTGGGGACGCCGACAATTTATCGGACATTTGGCGATTTTATTGCGCGCAGGAAGCAGAAAAAATTGAGAAGGATCGGCTACAGCGACAAAAGGCGGAGGAGAAGGCTGCCCGGCAAAAACAAAGAGAACCGCAGAAAGAACAGAAAGCAGAAGCGAAAAAGCTGAGGGAACAAAAAAAATCTGGAACGCATGAAAAGTGGCAAGGCCTCAAAGCCTGTCCACTCAACCAAGAAGCGGGCACGATCAACTCCGGTCCCAAATGCGCACGAAGGCCTCTCCCCAACGTGCATCAACTCCTCACCATTCCCCATTGACGTTGTCCCGTGCGCGTTACTTGGTCTCTCTGGTGCCAGTGAAATTAAAAATTGACCTTTTTCCAAAACTCTGTGTATTGCCGCACCAATAAAAGAAAATTCGGGGTTTCTCTGATCCAGTACGGCTAGAGATTCTGTATCTCCTCCCGGTTGGATAGCAAACGCAGAGCATCCACCACCACCAGTCTGACCTCATTTGGGAAAGGGGAAGTAGTTTTTAAGTTAATTTAAAAAAGATGTTACCAAATTATACTTTCCTGGAGTGGTAACCGCTGTCGCGGTCTCGGCCTTTTTTTCAGTACTGTAGCATATCCGTAATCGGTTTATGATTAAGCCTCTCTAGGGCAGACTGTTAGCTACTGTAGACCGGGCGGGTTGTGCTTTGGGATTTAAAGGCCGACGCTGCGGGCCTCCATAAACCGGTATCGGATCATCATCAATTGACAAACCGACAGTTCGGAGGTTGTCACAAGTAGTCATATATCAAACTTCCGGAATACGTCACTACAGTATGTCAAATAAGAAATTGCGCTTGCTTACTTATGTAGACGTGCATGTTAAATTATAGCGGTACCGATCGACGAGCACAACCGTAGCGGCCTGCTTGCCCATACGAAGTACAGTAGCAAACAATGCATCGCAACACTGTCTACGGTGCCGTTTTGTTATGCATTATTCAGTACGCAACCTCTCACACCGTTCCGTGATGTCCGTGGTTGACTGCATGATCCTGGCGTACATTCCAGGGCGCATGACCGATGGCCCGTGTGTGCCACGGAAATTACAAAAAGCTAACTCGGGTCATAAAAGTGTGTTACTCTATAATTCACATAGCGTAAAAAGTGTGGATATCTTCTACTTTCAACCTTTCTGCTAAACTGAGCAGTTTTGGAAGCTAGAATCATTGGATCGAAACGCCATTACACGAGGGGAAGAGGATAAGGGGTAAGGCACTGTGATCAGCACGGATTGCTGGGCTCCATTTCTTTTCTTCACGTTCCTACGTCGGTGCATGTGTACATATCCTGATCCTCTGTTTTGAAATTTGCCTTGGTTCTTATTACACTCCATAATTGAATTTATCCAGCGTTGGCCCTCATCTTTCCGACATAGCTGTGTTCTTGCATCTGTCAATGGGCTGCGGGCATATTTAATCACTCTTGCTCAATTGGAGGGGTGATAATGCCTCCTTACCCCCTCACTTTACATACTACTTGCTACTCCTGTCTATAGGACGTTTATACGTCTTACAAACTAAAGGGTAATTACAATAACAGTGAAGTGACGGACAAGTCGCCCTCTTCCGACAGAGATGCACTTCTCCAACGCCAGATGAACCTTTCACAATTTCTGCTTCAAAATTAATAGCTGTATCACCGTCGAAGCGTACATGTATACAGAATGTTAATGAAGAAAATCAAGAACTACTTTACACGGGGGGAGCTGGCAGTACCTCCAAAAGGCAGAGAGGCCGTCAGCTATGGGAATTCACTGGCGTGTGTGTACGATTTCCACCAAAAAGGGGCCACCAATAGACGCAGCATATTCAAGTAGAACAGTCGAGCTGAAAGTGCGGGGCGTCAAGAGCTCAACCGCCGGTGGTTTCAAACTTCTTCTAGTGTCTAGGTGACAAATGACCTCATATGAGGCCAGTTTTTAGGCGGGCTTTTGCAATTCGAATAATTGTAGAAAATTATCGCTACTGTAGTGAAAAGCTTACGACTAGAGTACTAAACGTTGGCAAAGCAGAAAACATCCAATTCCGTATCTCAGTCTTCCCTAATCAACACTTTCGTCATCCTCTTCCCTACATTTCTTCAAAATTGTGAGCGTCAATGATCCTCGAATTATTGCAGGTAACCGCGTCCACACTCGTGCAAGACTGCACACAGGTCAGAGTAAATGTCGTCGCATGTATGGAGCCGCCTGGAAGATCAAGTTGGTCACGAGAACTGTCATTAGCATGAAAACTGACAAAGTGAAGGGTCGCAGTGTCACTTCAGTCAGGGCTAAATGGGAATTATCAGATGGCGTCAAGGAAGTCACGCTTCGCATAGCTAACATCAAGGCTGGTGAAGTGATGGACCTGATCAATGACGACCCTGAAGATCATATATATCAAGAAACTGAACATTATGCGCGACCGGAGCCTACAGAGGACCGCGTGACGCCACTGGAAGGAGCACTCAGACCGAGTACGAGGATCTCCGCGAGTGACGAAATGGATTCCCGAGATGGCCTCATGAATGTCCACGGTCGGGCCTGGAAGCGTGAGGAAGTCACGATGCATTTAAATGGTATGATACCGCCGAGAAGATGGAAGGTGATTGGAACGATTGATGAGATTATATCCCGTGGTCACAGTCCATCTCAAATGCATCCCATGGACTACTTCATGTGGATGTTCCCACAGGAGCACATGGCGTTAATGGTTTCCCACACCAACGATGCAATGGAATCAAGGGGACTCCGCTTAACTACAAGAGGTGAAATTTTGAAGTTTTTCGGGGTGCTAATCCTTATGACTCGGATTGAATTCAGCACCAGAAGGTCTCTTTGGAGCTCACAGGAAACCAGCAAATATCTCCCGCAACCTCAATTCGGAAACATCATCTCCCGCAGAAGATTCGAGGAGCTTCGCCAGAATGTCACGTTCAGCTTTCCAGCTGACTCAAATGACAGATGGCGTATGATCAGGGACTTCATGTTCGCAATCAATGATCACAGAGCATCGCATGTGATTCCATCATAGAACATCTTCGTTGATGAGAGTATATCACGCTGGTATGGACTTGGAGGAGATTGGATTGAAACCGGTCTTCCTCAGTATGTTGCCATGGACCGAAAACCCGAGAATGGCTGTGAGTTGAAGACTGCTGTATGTGGAAAAAGTGGAATCATACTAAGAATTGAGAACGTCGTCTCAGCTGAGGAGACTTTTTTAAAGGATTTTGAAAGTGACCACTTACACGGAACCGCAGTGACTTTGAGGTTGTTACAGCTATGGTTTCACACCAATCGTGTTGTCTGCGCGGATTCGTACTTTGCTCCGGTCCACACGGCTGAATCACTTTATGAGAAAGGCCTTAGATTCACAGGTGTGGTGAAGACATCTACCAAGAAATATCCGATGAAATATCTATCTCATCTGGAGATTGCTGAAAAGGGAGAGCACGTCACACTAGTTTCGAAGCCGGTGGCCGGGCCTCACCTTATGGCAGTGATGTGGGTGGACCGAGACCGCAGATACTTTTTTAGTTCTGTCGGACCATCCAACGAAGGAACTCTAATCTACCGCGAGAGATGGCGTACACGTCATGGCGTGACAAGAAAACAAGAATTGTTTATCCGTATTCCCTCAGTCTGCGAGCAGTATTATGAAACTTGCTCTCAGATTGACCGTCACAACGGATCTCGTCAGGATGATCTCGGCTTGGAAAAGAAGTTCGAAGTCAAGGAGTGGTCTATGCGTGTCAACACTTCTTTATTGGCCATTTTCATTGTGGATGCATGGAAACTGTATGCAGGTGCAAAAGGAGATGGTTCTAAGATGTCTCCAAATCAGTTTTATTGTGAGCTTGCTGACCAGTTGATTGATAACAAATAAGATCGTATATCGTTACGTCAGCGAGAATCAGACAGTGCTGTTGAAGATGAAGATGTTGGGTTTGGCAGTGGAATTGGTACTCACCTATCCCCAACCACTCGCAAGCGGAAAAGCGCATCCGGCGAGGAGACTTGTCCTCTTTATCAATCCAGATGCAACATTTGCAGAGGTACAAAAAAGTAAAAGTTTATTTGCTCAGCCTGCAAAGTATATTTTGACAAAGAAGTATGCCTTTGTCATCACCAGACTGGGCGTGACTGTTTTAAGAAACCTGTCGACGAACGACACGATCATACTTGCAAAGGTAAGTACTACTGGTGCTTAAGGCGATCTCGACCATTAAAACTGACTACATTGGTCAGCATTTGAGTAAAATGGAGCAAAAAGAGATAAAAAGCTCCTTTTGCCCCTATCGTTCTATCCTGCGTCTAAAGACTTGCTTGAAGGACCTGCAGCCGTGTCGGAATGCTCCTTTATGAGATGTCACCTTATTCAATCTCATGTTCGAGTGGGTGCTATAAAGCGTCCTGGGCTGCAGGTCACGAACAAGAACCATCGATATCCCCGAAGGGATTTTTCGACAACTAAAATGCTAAGCGAGGAGTTGGACCCCGGCCTCTAAGACTCAGCGATCCTTACAGACCACTGAGCTGGCTTGTCAGTTACTAACTAGTCGTTTATAGTTGTCTTTATAGTCGTTCAAAGTTCTACTTCGTAAAAATTGTGCTCTTTTTGTTCTGTACTTGCGAAAATCTTAAATTTTGTTTAAATTTTACTGTAGAGCATTTGACCTCATATGAGGCAAATTGCCGGTCGTCTACACACTTGTCTAGGTGACAAGTGACCTCATATGAGGTAACTTTTCAACTTATTTTTTCTCTACTTGCGCTAGCTCAACAAGATGGAAAAAGATACTCTCGCCACCGCAGTTGACTTCTGCGTTGCGGAAGGGCGGAGTTTGGTGAGATCTGCACGTCTTTTCCAGCCATTTTTAAAATGCCCAAAAAGGAGC